AAGCCCATGAAAGTGTCTGAAAACCTAAAAACACCTTCACCAGTGTCTGGAAGCACAATAGTTGCCTTAAAAAGGACTTAAGAATTTTAGTTAAATTTCTTCCCCGAACTGGGTTCCCCGAACTGGATAGTAATAATGAGATTATTAGCAGTCAGTTATATGCTCTAGAGTAGCCCTGACAAAGCCAATATCTATCTGTGTGAAATCAAATGGAACTTCCCTAGTTTTAAAAAAGATTAAAGATGGAAACTATTAAAGGCTCTTATTCTTAGAATGCTTTTTAATCTGATTACTATTAATAAGTCATTTATATAATCTAACATACAACTCTCAAGGGCTATTCTATGACTTTCACTTCATAGTTCCAGATCAGGACACTAGATTAACATTTCAATTAGTATCAAATAGCCCTAGCCGGTTTGACTCAGTGGACAGAGTGTCGGCCTGCGAACTGAAAGGTCCCAGGTTTGATTCCGGTCAAGGGCACCCGGGTTGTGGGCTCGATCCCCAGTGGGGAACTTGCAGGAGGCAGCCGATCCATGATTCTCTCTCATCATGGATGTTTCTCTCTCTCTCCCTCTTCCTTCCTCTCTGGAAAAAAAAAGTTTAGTATCAAATAATTTCAGCCCACACTTTTGGCATGTAGCCACATTTAACAACTGGATGTCAAGATGACTTAGATGCCCTGGCCAGTGTGCTCAGTGGTTAGAGTACCAGCCCTCACACCAAAGGGTCAGGGGTTCAATTCCCAGTCAAGATCACAAACCTGAGCTATAGACTTGATACCCAACCCTGGTCGGGGCGTATGCAGGAGGCAATTAATCCATGTATCTCTCTAACATCGAAGTTTCTCTCTTTCTCTCTTACCATCCCTCCTCCCTTCCACTCTCTCTACAAAGCAATGGAAAAATATCCTAGGGTGAAGATTAAAAAAAAAAAAAGATAAACAAAGATGACGACTTAGAGGAATCACTAGCAAAGCAACATTTCTAGCCTCAGATAAGATCTAGCTTTCTTCTTTTACTTGAAAGAAAATGTATTTTTCAGAGCTGATTCAGAAATTAAGACTGAGATGATAGTCATAATATAGTAAAGAGTTTAAAAAAGGTAAATTCCCCATTTTGGTTCTTCAACAACAAACTAATAAGCACGATTCTTCAAGTCTGATATTCTACAGCAATGTAAAAGCTTATTTCTTTGTATAAAGAAAAAGTATTAAAAACCACTCCTAAATGATTTTTTGTTGGAGGAAACCATGGGAAAGCTAACATATATTCT